TGTCCACATGAGGCTGCAAAATGTCAGAGATGCTTGCTTGGGGCCTGAATGCAACATGGCATTTTTGTGGATAAAAGGTCTATAAAATCATGAGTGACACAAAGAAGGGGAAGGGGGAACGATTGTTCCTGGTCTCTTCCAAAGAGGAGGAGACACCATTGCCATCAAATGATAGTAATGAAAGGGAAGTAAAGGAGAAATGGCATTTTTTTTAGAGAACACATAGTTGTTCTATGAACCTCCTTGCCACAGGATGTTAAAGATACTGAAGGGACAATGCCCAAGCTCATGGAAGAGAAACCCATTTTGTGTTACTAAACCAGCAAAAACTGGCTTAGGAAATCCCTGAGCACCAAATAATGAATCTGGGTAGATGAATTCTTGGGGGAAAACTCACATGTAATTACAGCATTCCTGTGCTCTTCCTCAGCCAGCTTGTGGTCGCTGTTGGATTCAGAATAGCTGTGCACAGAGTTCCTCTGCTTTTTCTGTCTGTGGGCTGGTACACCAGAACAGTATCCTGGTGTTATGGGGTTATCCCCAGCTGGACCTCATAGAGATTGTAGTGAGTAGTTTCTCTCTCTGTCTTGTCTGAAAGGCACCACAGAAAAATAAGCATTGAAGAAGGCTCTAAGTGTGTTTTTTTTCCTCAGACCTTTATAGCTACACTCTGGCAAATGAGAAAACAGAATTCCATTTTTCTTCTAGAATTACATGTAGGTGCACATGTTCTTTGAGAGTTTTTCATCAGAGAATGGCCAAGGCCTGAAAAAACCAAAGGCAGGGAAGTCCCCAACAGAGTACTGATTTCGTGCCAGCCCTTACAGTGTGGCTGCTTGCTTCCCTTGCCTACACCTTCCTGCAGATCTGCTTGGTGTCTGTAGCCCAGCTGTTCCATGACTGGAAGGAGATGGATTTTGTGGTGTATTGGTGCTTCACAGTCCAGAACTGGAGTAACACTGAAATATGACATTTCTTTGTGCCAAGAGAGTCTTCTTGGTGCCAATTCAGATGAGCTCTGTCTTGAAAGCCTAAGCAGCTGGGAGGCATTTGGAAAGTGAGGGAGAGTACTGATGACATTTCTTCCAATCAGGGTGAGAGTTATTTAGATTTTCCTTGATCATTCAAATGATATGTCATTGAACACCAGACAAAACTGCCTGCTGTGGTCACACTGCTGTATTGTGGTACCTCAGCAAACCAGTTACTACATTAGTGTAGGATGGGCAGTGTTTGCTTAGGTGTGGTCCAGGGTAAAGCTCCATCTACACCTTTCTCCCTCTTCCTCTGTGGCTTGTTAAGGGATGCATTTCCTGTACCCAATGCTAAGGTCTTCTGTTCAGTCTTTCTTCTTCACCACAGAAGAGAGAGAAGCCCTGATGTCATCATTAACATTTTTGTTTTCCTTTAGGCCTTCTGTTTCTTAATGATGACACAAAGTCATCTCTTTATACTCTGCTAGAGGGCAATGACATTTGTGTAGAGGAGATCAGGGAGAATTTTGGTAGCTGGAATCTGCTGCCAAGGCAGTTGCTTCTGCTTCTGCCTTTACTTGATGCAAGTCAAACCCAACTACCTGGAGACTGACTCTGTCACCTGTGTCCTTTCCCAGCACTATTGCTCCTTTGTGCCTCTCTTCCTCTGGCAATTATTCACCTTTCCCTGTTTCCCAGAGGCAGTCTCTTATGTTAAGAAGACAGAGCTTTGTTTTAGATTTGAAAAATAGTGAATTTCAGAAAACATGGACTGCTGCAGTTTGCTTTCCATGTAATACTCTGTTCAGTGCTGCATAGATCCTGAAATGCATACGGAATGGAGAGTTAGGTCTGAGGTGTATTTTCACACCCCTCACTTCAGAGTGTTTAAGGCAATGTTTAAGTCTACTCCTTAAAATCATGTTGTATAGGATAAATATGTGACTAATCCTTTATACATTAATCTATTTATAGAGTCTTATTCCAGATTCATGAATAACAATTCTGTTAAAGTTCTGTAAAGAAATCTGTTTCTTTACCCCAGATTCATGGTAAAAATACAGTAAGAGACATTTATCTAATATTGTGGAATGTCACTATGACTTGGGGCTGAATAGAAGTCAGAATTTCTGGATTTTCTATCTACCTATGTGAATTGGAGGGAAAGTAAAGCCTGCTTTACTTTTACTCTGGTGTCTGTGCTTCCTTATCTGTAAAACAAGGATACAGATATATTTGTATCTTATGGGATATACAATTACAAAGTCTGGGACAAATTTTAGAAATTCAACTGTGAGATAGCATGTAAGCACATAATATGAATGTTTTATGATGTCCCTAAAACTGTTTCTTGGGGATATCTTTAATGAGAATGATATAGGGAGATCAAAAGAAACCTTTTTTCACCCCAAATATTTTTTTAGAACCCAAAGTAAAAGTTGTTTCCACCAACTGCCATCTCTTCAGCCATCTGGAAAATCACATTTTCTGAAGCTTTCCTTCTCTTTGTCATCTGTAACTAAAGCTATAAAATAGGAAGATGTCCCTGGTTTAATTAACACCCCTGTAGTTCAAAAGCTGATCTTAGTAATGAGAGGCAATTATAGCCTTTATTGAGGGATAGTCAGGTGGAACTAACCCAGCAACAATCTGGTGAAGAAACTTCGCTTTCCAGGTAATTTGGAAACTGCTTTTTATGATGAACAGACTACCTGGCTCAATATAACAGGTGAATTTCTTTCCTTTATAACCTGAAAAAGAACCTCCTATTTTGAGTTTTGTGCTTCAGTTGTAAATTGGTTTTTACAATCCATCCATCAACAAATATCAACTGACCTAAGAATAAACCTTTTGCTTTTTGAAGGGGATTCTTGCTGGTTTTCTTGTTTTATTTTCCTTGTCTACTCTTGTTTTACATTTTGAAGGTTGTCTCGTGTTCATATTTTAGTTCTAGCAAAAGTGCAGACTCTGAGATGCAGCCCCATCCTAAGAGGAAGGCAGAATTCTGGGTTCTGCACCTCAACACTGGTGTGGCAGAGCTACAGAAGGTCCAAAGAAGGATATGGAAATGATCAAGGAAATGTGACTTCTGCTCTATGAGTTTAAAAGACTGTAGCTTCAGTTTAGACAGGAAAAAGCTGAGAGCAGAGATAAAGCTGAGCTTAGCTGAAAACATGAGGGTGGTAGATAAGGAAGATTTAGAACTTCAATTCTGTAACTAAGGTGTTCTAGCTGAAACAAGGAGATAGCCTTGAAATTAAAATGTACCTTTTTGCACAGCAGATAGTGAACTTCTGGAATTTGTTGCCACAGGATATTGAGAAGATGTGCAGTTTCAAAAAAGAAATAGACAAATTCAGAGCAGCAGGTCAATGACCTGAGTTTAAAGGTGATGGGCAGGGCTCCTCAGTGGTCCTGCCTCAGTGGTATCTCATGCCAGGTCTGTCCTCCAGCTTCAGATCTGTGAGAGTGTGGGTCTACAGAACACCCTGTGTTTTATCTGCCAGTCACCTATGGGTATCCTGATATCTCAGGGATCTAGAATAAAGCTAGAGGATTCTTTCTGGAAAACTGAATTAAATTCTCAATATCTCCAAGGCATCTATACTGGAGACAGTCACTCAAGGTTACTATCATGATTAGGATGTCTTCATTTGGCTGTTTACAGGTAGTTCTCTGCCAGTGCTGTGGGTGTCTAAGTTTGGAGTCAACAGATGTCTAGTCAGTCTAATGGGGACCTAATGAACATGATCAATGAACAGTTAGAACTGTCATTTCATCTTGCCAGAATTGGGATGGTCAGTGAAATAACTCACTACTGCCTGTTTTCTTAGACTTATTGTTGACTATAATGGGAGTTTGGACACATAGAACACATGCAGATACATAAATGTAGCTATGTTAATCTTGAACAGAATTCTGCCCCAAGATTTCTATTACAATGCTTGAAGAGAAATAGTTGCCTCCTGAGAATAACTCACTGACCTGTTTTAGACACCTCTGTGTACACAACAGGAACTGCTCTTGTGAAGTATGTAGCTCTAGTCACCGACTGTAAAGGGAGTCTAGGTGGTGGTAGCCACATGGTGAATGGACACAATGGCCAAGTGGGTCCCAGCCATCTCATTTTGGAGACTTTGGTACATTCTCTTAAAATCTCAGCTGTAAGAAATGTAGATTTTTTAAAGCAATGTAACCTGAGCAGCTGTAATTATAATATCTAAACAGCCTCCTGCTTATGGTTTGATTTAGAATAAAGGCTTAGCCATGATTTTACCATTTGAAAACTATGCTGTGAAATGTGGTACATCCTCTGTCCTTGGATTAGTTTAACATCCTGATGAAATTGCCTTTGCCATACTAACTGTCAAAGCTGTAAAACTATGGCACAAGCTGGTAAATTGTTTTTCCTTCCAGTAAGTAAAGATAGAACGGGCATTTAAATTTAAATCCCTAAATTCCTCTGGTGTTCCAGCAATGAGTCACTTTCATTAGGTGTCTAGGAGGAAGGTTTATTCAGTATGGGGGAGTTTGAAAAGGAATTTCTTCGGCTGGAGGGCCTGTGGATGTTGTTAACTCCATTCTGTCAGCAGACACAAAATTTGGATGCCATCACTGTACTCTGGTTTTGGGACAGAGCAACACCAACTACTCTCAAAAACACTCTGGGAAAGTCCATCTGTTTCCAGAGTTTCCGCTATTGCCTGTGACAATAGGACAGACATGAAATTTCTTCAGATAATCCATGTGATATAACCTTGTTTAGGAGACTCAGTGTTGTTTGAAGTAGAATGGGTTGTGCATTCTTTCACCTTTCCCCCTTTTGCCTGAATGTTGCTATTCTGTGCCTTATTTACTGCAGACACAGGGTGTGGGTGAGGAGATACGGGAAGACCGTGACTGCAGGGTCCCTGCAGCTTTGGATCTGGCAGTGGCGTCGGAGCGATTTGGGTGGTTTGCACGGTGGGGGAGCCGTGGCCACCGCCTGCCCTGCTGACTGTCCTGTGTTTCCATCCCCCTTGCCAGGTTACGGACACGCTGCCCCAGGGACGGACGCGGGGAAGGCCTTCTGCATGTTCTACGCAGTCCTGGGGATCCCACTGACACTCGTCATGTTCCAGAGCCTGGGCGAGCGCATGAACACCTTCGTCAAGTACCTCTTGAAACGCATCAAAAAGTGCTGTGGCATGAGGAGCACCGAGGTCTCCATGGAAAACATGGTCACTGTGGGTTTCTTCTCCTGCATGGGGACACTCTGCATTGGAGCAGCAGCCTTTTCCCAGTATGAGGAATGGAGCTTTTTCCATGCTTACTATTACTGCTTTATAACATTGACTACGATAGGGTTTGGAGACTATGTGGCCCTGCAGACCAAAGGGGCCCTTCAAAAGAAGCCTCTCTACGTGGCTTTTAGCTTTATGTACATTCTAGTGGGGTTGACAGTCATTGGGGCATTTCTAAATCTGGTTGTTCTCAGGTTCTTGACCATGAACAGTGAGGATGAGAGGAGGGATGCCGAGGAACGGGCGTCCCTGGCAGGGAACCGCAACAGCATGATTATCCACATCCAAGAGGACTCCCAGCATGGTCGGCCACGGTACAAGGCCGAAGTAACAGACCTTCAGTCAGTTTGTTCCTGCATGTGTTACAGGTCCCACGAGTACACCAGCCGGGTGGTGTCCCACCAAAATTCGTTCAGCTCGAAGCTGAACCCCCAGTACTTTCACTCCATCTCTTACAAGATAGAGGAGATCTCGCCAAGCACATTAAAAAACAGCCTTTTCCCATCTCCTGTCAGCTCCATCTCACCTGGGTTGCACAGCTTTACAGATAACCACAGGCTGATGAAACGGCGAAAGTCCATTTAAAGGGATTTGTCTTATTTTGCTTTCCTTGTTTTTTCCCAGTCCTTTGTTGTTTTGGGTTTTTTGTTCCTTGAGTGAGACGGAGCGAGGCCAAAGGGAGTAGAGCAAGCCAGTCCTCCTCTGAGACTCAGCTCTTGAGCATGAAGCATGGATTATTACTGTTCCAGCAAAGTATGCCTTACATTACCCCCTTGGTGGATGTCAGAGGATTCAAGGTGACGTGAAGTGGGTACCAAATCCAAAGTTGCACACACAGCTGGGAGCCTTCATGTGCCACTGGCACTCCTGACCTAACAAACTTTTTTCCTCACGAGCAGGTTGCAGTGTGTGTCCGTGTGCCTGTGTGAGTGCCGGGTGTGTGTGCGTGTGTGTGTGCGTGCAATTCCACAATCAGTGCCATGTGACAAAAATTAAAGCATCAGGTATTATTTTTTCTTTTGCCCTTGAAGCAATTGTGTTCCAGCCTGCTTTTTTAGATTGCTTCCAAAAGGAGCGGGGAGGGTGGG